TGCTTCTCTTACTGATTTTTTATATGTACATTTATTGGTACAATTAAAATTTAAAAAAAATTTTTTTTTTAAATTAAAAAAATAAATTTTTTTTTTTAAATTTAAAAAATGAAAAAAAAAATGTCTAAAAATACAAAGGATTTAAAACAGAAGTTTTTTGGTTTGGTTTTCGCTATACTTTCATTCTCTCTTATTCTTGATTTTGTTTTTTAAACTTGTGTATGATGATTATTATTATTATACTGTAATTCCCAGTCAAGTTGGAAATTGATGAAAAATAAGGCAAGTGTATAAAAATTGTTTTTCGAGTGTGAAACTGGTTTTCAAGAAATTCTCAATAAACACCTGAAAATCTAACTCTCTTTCTTTCGTGGCCTTGAAACGGCGCTCTTTGCGGTCTAATTCCCTGTACCCTTTCAGGACGAACACTTTCCATTGTGTAACGAATTTTTTCGCGTGCCGTTCAGCACCGCGTTGCTATTTAACTTTGAAAGCACTTTTCCGTCTCCTGTGTAATTTTTTTTTTCCATCGACTTTTTAAAAGAAAAGAGAAAGAGAAAAATATTTTCTTCATATTTTTGAATACACATCAGATTGATGATGATCATCAACTTTGCAAGACGGGTTTACTAAAAGACAAATAAAAATATCTATTATTAATTATTTTTTTTATTTTTTTTATTTATTTATTTTTATTTTTTTTTTATTTTTATTGTTTTTTTATTTATTTATTTTTATTTTTTTTTATTTTATTATTTTTTTTATTTATTCTATTATTTTTATTATTATTAAACAATAATAACATTATTATTCGAATTCCGAATATTCTTCTATTCCAAAATCATAATTAAAAATAATAATAAGTAGACTGTTTAAATAAATAAATATTTTTAAATTATTTTAAAATTATATTAAAATTGGAAATATTTATGAAAGAATTTATATTTAAATTTACCATAAATGAAATTGAGGGGAATAAATAAAAATTATGTTATTGTTTTGTCGTTTGGTTGAATCTGGAGTATTTTGTCAGAAAGGAAGAAAATTGGGCAATATTCTTCTAGTGGCACTGATGCGCTCACGTAACCATTTGTAAAATACGAAAAACTAATATTTTATTTTGAAAGACAGGAAATGCTTTCACTGATTCTAGTCACTAGTCAAGACTTACTTAAGTTAAATATCTTGTCTTAATTGGACAATATCAAAAATGATTGATATCAAAAAGGAAATAATATCTTTCTTCATCATTTCAACTTGCACTTTTGTCACACTCAAAACTTTTATAATTATAAATTAATTATATCCAATCTTCATTCATAATTATTAAAAAAAAGACTTAGATTTTAAATACTTTTTTATATTTCATTTTTTTTCATTTATGTGACATGCTCTGAAGAAACATAAAGCAAATGAATTCTAGGTTATGTTAACGTTTGATTTAATTTTTGATCAAAACATTTTACATTTTATACATTAAAAAAAAGAAAAATTCTTTACTCCTTTACTTATTAAAACCATGACATTTTGTTTAAAATCGAAATTATAAAAAATATAAAATATTGTTTTTGGATTTATTATTATGAAATGGATTATAATACGTCTGACCCCTTTTTTTCTTGTGTATATAAATGTTTGCTCTTAATATCTGATGTGAAAACAGTGATGAGGTGACAATGCCTCATATCCTCATTTCTTGGCAACAAAAGATGGGTGTGGGCTAAAGTATTTTCAAGGACAAATAAATTTTTATCATTGAAAAATAATTTTTTTTTTTTTTTTTTTAAGACAACCTTGATATTCGGAATTTAACACTACAGATTTAATTGAGGACGTACATACAAAAAAAATTGTTCATTTTACTTTATGAGACATGCTACTATTTTGTTGCAATGTCCTCAATTATGAAAGGCAACCAACCACTATTTGTCCATTAATTTCCCAAGTATCCTTGAAGATATCATTTTAATACCTAATTTTTTTATATTTCACTTTTATAAATTTATTTTATTTATTTGGATTTGTCTGCACTAATTATAAACATTTTATAACATTTTTAATAAACTCTTTTATTTTATTTAAATAAAAAAAAATTAATTTTAGCTGATAAATTAATTAATTAATTTAGAGATAAGTTTTTTTTAAAACAGCTAAAAATATCGCTAATATAGCAAAATTTGTACCTGTTTCAGTTAAAATTTTTCTATTTTTATAAAATTATAGGTTCAATTTGCATCATACGGAATTTTTGTTTTTTATTTTTAATAATATATTTCTTCTGACATTTTTCAAGATTCATAAGTTAAGGCATAAAAATATTCATTAAAACTAAGTCTCTTTTTGTTAAATTTGTCATTGTTGAAATTTTTTTCTCAGTTTCATATTTCAACATAGTCGTAATAATTATTTCACGAACAGCAAAACCAAGAACATTCTATGAATTTTAGTAGTAAAACTTTTACGTAAATCACTTTGTGTGACAATAATATTGTAAAGACAAAACGCAAGAATCCATAGTTTTCGAAATAAATAATTTTTCTTTCTTTTTTTTCCAATTCAATTCAATAAACTATTACAGTGAATGCCTTGGAATTGAAAAGAAATGACAAAGAGTGTATAGAATTTTTTTTTTCATTATTAACGCATGTGAATTTAAGTGAAGCGTTTCCTTAATTATAAATATGTTTACATGTATATTTATTCTGAACAAGGTGATAATTTATAATATACTCATTACATCTTAATGATACAATATTTGTTTCCCATATTTTATTATTTTTTTTGTCTTGTCATCAAAATAGTTTCTAAAAAAACATTGTCCTCCTGGTGTTAATTTACGACGAAAGAATATTTTTTGAATGGAATAAATTAATTTTCAGAAGAATTATCAGAATTTTTGTAAAAACAATATATTATTTCAAAAAATCTCGAAGGCTTTCGGTAATTTGACATATTAGAATGATTCAAAAAATAAAAAACAAACACTTTAGGTCATATTTTTAGGAATTTATTTGACCTTCTCAAAAAAATTAAGAATTTTGAAAAATATATTTCTACATTTTTAAAATAAATCTTTATGCTGCTTAAAAATTATTAAAAGATATTTAAGCATATTTGAAAACGCGTCGATCGACTTATTTGCGAACTCTTAGGTCGCATTTTTCACAATTTATTAACCTTTTAAAAAAAATTGAAAATTCCTGAAAACCTGATATTCGTAAATTTTTTTAAAAATCCTAATATTACTGCTGTTCTGCTAAAAGAAAGTTTAACAGCCTTAAAAAAACACGCCAATTGACCTATTTGCAAACTTTTTAGGTCGAATTATTTACAAATTAATCAAGTTTTTAAAAAAACGAAAAATTTCTAAAAGTATGATTTTATAAATTTTTTTTCAAATCTGTATGTTACTTCTAAACTTATATGAGCTACGTATAGAGCTTCTGAAAATGCGTCGATTGACCTATCAGCGAACTTCTTAGGTCTTATTATTCCCGAATTATTGATCTTTTTAAAAAACAAAAAATTTTTAAATCGCGGTTTTTCAAAATTTTTTTTTTAAATTATTTTTTTTCTAGTAAACTACCTGCAGGTACTTATAAGGCTATTGAAAACGCGTCGATTGACCTATCAATGAACTTTTTAGGTCGTATTATTAAAAAATTATTGACCTTTTTAAAAAACCAAAAATTTTTAAAGTTGCAATTTTTTTAAAATTTTCTTTTAGATTATTATTTTTCTAGCAAAATTTTTGAAATAACTTATGAAGCAACTAAAAATGCGTCGATTGACCTATCAATGAACTTTTTAGGTCGTATTATTAAAAAATTATTGACCTTTTTAAAAAACCAAAAATTTTTAAAGTTGCAATTTTTTTTAAATTTTCTTTTAGATTATTATTTTTCTAGCAAAATTTTTAAAATAACTTATGAAGCAACTAAAAATGCGTCAATGGATCTATTTGTGAACTTTTTAGATCGTATTATTAAAGAATTATTGACCTTTTTGTAAAATCAAAAATTTTTAAATTAACCTTTCTTAAGGTATTTTCTTTAAAATTATTATTTTTGTGTGAACTATTAGGAGCACCTTAAAAGGCAACTAAAAACGCGTCATTTGGCCTATCAGCGAACTTTTTAGGTCGTACTGTTCTCGAATTATTGACCTTTTTAAAAAACCAAAATATTCTTAAAGTTAAAATTTTTTCAAATTTTCTTTTATATTATTATTTTTCTGGTAAAATCTTTGGAATAACTTATAAAGCAACTAAAAATGCGTCAATGGACCTATTTGCGAACATTTTAGGTCGTACTGTTACCGAATTATTGATCTTTTTGAAAAATCAAAAAATTGTAATAATCGTACTTTTCCTTCAAGTTTCTTTTAAGTTTTTTTTTCTAGCAAAAGTTTTTTAATATCATATAAAGCAACTAAGAACGCGTAAATTGACCCATTTGCGAACATTTTAGGTCGTATGATTCCTGAATTATTGACCTTTTTAGAAAACCAAAAATGTTTAAAGTTGCAGTTTTTTTTGAAATTTTCTTTTAAGTTTTTATTGTTTAGCAAACTTTTAGAAGAAACTTATAGATCTTTGAAAAACACGTCAATTGACATATTTTTAAACTTTTTTTGACCAAAAATAAAAAAGTTAGAGAAGTAGAAAATTTTTTTAAATTTCCAATTTTGCATCTTAGTATTTTTAGTTAAGATTAGATAAAAAATCAACAATTAACAACAACAAATAATCTTTTGTTATTGTTTATAGAACTTTTAGAAATTATATAGCAATTGAAATAAATGCAAAAAAAAACAATACAAACAGTCAACCATTTCTTTTCCTATCAATCAGAAAATGTTTGAAGAGTATATCATTATACTTAAAACCGCAGCATCATCATCAAAAAGAGAAATTTCTTATTTTCTACACTTAATTTATAAATATAAACTATACTATATAAAACTGCTTATTTTAATAATTGCCAATTATCACTACTCACCAACTCGTAATTAAACTCCAACTTAATCCTTGAATGACAAAACTGGTATAAACTTTTAAAGATCAGCACATGTAGAAATTATATCAAACACAGAAGCTTCTCCTCTTTAAATTTCTCCTCAGATTTCGATCTTCTTCGTCCAGCTTCGAGGAAACCTATCGACACCATAACACAAGGTGTGTTCACTAAAGATTGGATCGAAAAAATTTGATAAATTCACAAATTCAAATTTCTCTTCTTATTCCAAAAACAGATTTTTTTTTTTTGTCAATCACTTGTCACTACCGTTTTTACATTTCGCCCACGAAACTACGCCCCCTCCAAAACTCCAGATTTTTATTTTTTATTATTGAGAACGAAAATTTTAATTTCCTTCCATTATTTTGAAAAATAGTCTGATTAGTAATTTTTTAACACTGCATTCACTTAGGAGATGATCACATGTGACCTTGACTTCACTGGTCCTTGGAGTTGAGGAAAATTGCTATTTTCTTTTTCACTGTTGGATATTTTTCTTCATTCTGTGGCAAAACTTTTTTTCAAGTTGATTGTTGTGAATTGTTGTGATTTTCTTCAATTTGTCTCTAATTTTTAATGCTTCAAATTTTTGAGTTCTACTTGTTGAAGAGGATGGAAAAGTGCCTCCCGTAGACGAGGAGAAATAAAAGAGAACGAAAATTAAAGAAAAACACCCCCGTGAGTAAATTGAAAAATTGTCTACAGGAGTCAATGGTGTCCTCTACACACCATATCTATCCTCTTGGCCTGAAGGAGTCCAACCGGCTGCCTTCTGGTACCTACTGTATGCTACGTCGGCTCTCACTTTCTCCTGCTTGTAGTTTCATTTCGGTACGTAAAACTCTCTCGTGGTTCTCCTCCTCCTCCTCCTCCGCCACTACCTCTTGATGCCTCTTCCCTATATCCGATAGTCGTCTTTCAGCTTCAACTTTTCCCTCCACACACACGAGAGAGAGAGACTGACGATAAAAAAAAACCCAATATTCATGCTTTAATCCTCCCATAATCATTATTTTTCTCCTCGACGTCAATAGGTGCTGAGGTCATTCTCTGACTTCACCGGAACTATATTATAAGATGTAAAGGCCAATATCTCATTTATGAAAACAGGATATTTGCCAAAAATAAATTTTCCCTTGTTTATATATTGAAAACGAGTTTTTAAAATCAATATGCGGGTATTGGCTCGCATATTATCTCTTTATATAACGAAGAAGATATTTTCAGATTACTTGAGTTTCACTTAATTACAATTCTAGATTTGGTATTTAAATACAATTTTCTGGACTATACGAATTTCTAGTAAATGGAGTATAAGTTTTTACAAATTTCTTCTTTCTTCAGCTTGTTAGTATACTAACAATAGCTGAAGAAAGATGAATTTCTGCTTTCTTCAGCTGTTAGTATACCATCAATAGCTGAAGAAAGAAGAAATTCTTATTTCTTCAGCTGTTAGTATACAAACAAATGCTGAAGAAATAAGAATTTCTTCTTTTTCTTCAGCTGTTAATATACTAACACATTAGTGAAGAAAGAACTCTTCTTTCTTCAACTGTTAGTATACTATTAATAGCTGAAGAAATAAGAATTTCTTCTTTCTTCAGCTGTTAATATACTAACACATTAGTGAAGAAATAAGAAGTTCTTCTTTCTTCAGCTGTTAGTATACCAACAATAGCTGAAGAAATAAGAATTTCTTCAGGTATTATTGGTATATTAAGAATTTCTTCTTTCTTCAGCTGTTAATATACTAACACATTAGTGAAGAAATAAGAAGTTCTTCTTTCTTCAGCTGTTAGTATACCAACAATAGCTGAAGAAATAAGAATTTCTTCTTTCTTCAGCTGTTAATATACCAACAATAGATGAAAAAAGAAGAATTTCTGCTTTCTTCAGCCGTTAGTATACCATCAATAGCTAAAGATATTCTTATTTCAATAGCTGAAGAAAGAAGAAATTCTTATTTCTTCAGCTGTTAGTATACAAACAAATGCCGAAGAAATAAGAATTTCTTCTTTCTTTAGCTGTTAATATACTAACACATTAGTGAAAAAATAAGAAGTTCTTCTTTCTTCAGTTGTTAGTATACCAACAATAGCTGAAGAAATTCTTCTTTCTTCAGCTGTAAGTATACCAACAATAGCTGAAGAAATCAGAATTTCTTCAGGTATTGTTGGTATATTAACAGCTAAAGAAAGAAGAAATTCTTCTTTCTTCATCTATTATTGGTATATTAAGAATTTATTCTTTCTTCATCTGTTAATATACCAACAATAGCTGAAGAAAGAAGAATTTCTGCTTTCTTCAGCCGTTAGTATACTATCAATTGCTGAAGAAAGAAGAAATTCTTATTTCTTCAGCTGTTAGTATACAAACAAATGCCGAAGAAATAAGAATTTATTCTTTTTCTTCAGCTGTAAATATACTAACACATTAGTGAAGAAATAAGAAGTTTTTCTTTCTTCAGCTTTTAGTATACCAACAATAGCTGAAAAAATTATTCTTTCTTCAGCTGTTAGTATACCAACAATAGCTGAAGAAATAAGAATTTCTTCATCTATTATTGGTATATTAAGAATGTCTTCTTTCTTCAGCTGTTAGTATACCAACAATAGCTGAAGAAATAAGAATTTCTTCATCTATTATTGGTATATTAAGAATGTCTTCTTTCTTCAGCTGTTAGTATACCAACAATAGCTAAAGAAACAAGAATTTCTTCTTTCTTCAGCTATTGTTGGTATATTAACAGCTGAAGAAAGAAGAAATTTTTCTTTCTTCAGCTAACAATAGCTGAAGAAAGAAGAATTTCTATTCATTTACCATGCTAATTATTTCACTACAAAAATATCTAAAAATTTAGAGTTAATTCAATCTAATTGAATTTTACAAAAATATCAACTTCCAAATCCTTCCTAAGTGCTATATGAAATAGAAAACAATTTTTTTTTCTCTTCTTCTGCATTTAAATTCTATATATCTTTAACTAAACTTATTTAGAAAATAACATATATATCATCTATAAGTGATTTATCAGTCACATAAGTGACACTGTAGTTTTTAAATTATAATCCAATAATAAAATTTCGGACAAACAATTAATATTCATAGTATTTAAAGTTGTTTGAGAAAAAAAATGATTTATGATTCTGTTATATACGATGCAGAAAATGCCTGAGGTTACAATACTTTGGAGTCCTCTGGAGAGAAGAGTTTTAATGCAAGAGCTGTCAAGACTTCAAGAGGAAAGTGCCACTGGTTTTTGATAAAGATCTCAGTAATGTGGGTGTCGACACGATTTCGAAGACTTTTCCACCTTAATTCAAAAATTGTTTTTGTCCCAAAAAATTTTTTAAATTCATAATTATCACTAATTAATAAAAATTTTCAACTAACTATAAATAAAAAAATAAGCCACAAGTAAATAAAAAATAGTCATAACTAAATGAAAAATTTATTTCCATTACTGTAAATAAAAGTTAATTTTTGGAATTTTCTTCAATATCTAAGTTTACGAATTTTGTTTCAAAACACAAAGTTCTACTGTGCGTACAATAGTTTCGTTTTCTATTTTTTAATAGTTTTTACTGATAATTTTCATTTTTTTTCGAAAACTATCATTAAAAAACATTTACAAGTCCCGGTTCTTCGGGCAATTTCACATGGTTTGTCATCTTCTTTTTCAAAAAAAAGTCCAGATCTCATAATCTGTTAACATCACCATGCACAAACAATACTAAACCATTGTTTTCGTGAAAAAGCAAAAAAAAAAAAAAAAAAAAACTATAAAATTAGAGAAAACGATCTGAAAATAAAAGTGTGTTAAAACTTGGAAAATAAAAACAGATACCTATCTATCTTAAACAGTATTTCTTTTATTGTTCTTACTCATGAATTACTCTAACTCTTACTCGCGTTCTTCTCATAAATTAAATCAAACTTATTTATTTAATTATGAACGAACAAAAAATTTAGTCTATTATTACATTTCCATAAAATTTAATATAGAAAAAAAAGTTTCTCCTAATTAAAAAAATTATTTTCTCGCCTTTTTTTTGCTAACTAATGGTTATTAATCGATTTAAATCTTTTTTTATTATTATTCGGTTTAAATATTTAAAAACAAAACTTGTAGAGGAACAAAATTTTTGTTTTTAAAAAACAAGATAATTGTTTTTTAAAAAAAAGAACTGAATTTGTTCCCCTAAAATTAACCCTCAAATTATACTTTTTCTACCGAAAAATTGGAAAGCAAAAAAAAAAAAATGAAAAAAAAAAATAATCATAAAACCATGTGAAGGTGATGAATTAATGCGAATATACCAAACTATTTCGGGCGGTTGGTCCGTTTCCCAAGTGTGCCATTAAAACTTTCTCCGGTGTTTAAATAATATTTCACGGCATCTCGACTTTCTTGGTCCTATTGTCATAAAACCCGTACAAGTAGATTTAAGTGTTTTAGTGTTCCAAGGAAGAGCAGATATATAATTTTTTATTCTCAAATTTAATCCGGAAATCCGTTACAATTGTATGTCTAATTATTTTTATTTTTTCTTTAAATTCGTGTTATGTATCTAACGGCGTTTTTTTTTTAAATATTCAACAATACTATTTTTTTTATTCCATTGACAGAATTATTGTATAATAATCCGAAAAAAATTATTCTGCGCATTAATTATCATTTTCTCACTAACACGTATACTCTGTTTATCAAAATAGACAGAAAAAAAGAATTTTTATCTTAAAATTCATTTCATTAAAATTCCATTTTATTTTTAATTTTTTATTACTTTTTCGTATAATATATCAATTCAAAAATATTTTTTATGTACATGTGCTTTGAGTATGTATGTGTTTTTCCACATTTTAGTATATGTGTCTCTATTTTGTGCACATGTATTGTTTTGTGTATATGTGACTGAATTTTTTATATATGTGTAAGTGAACATGTGTCTGTGTTTAAAGTACATGTGTAAGTGTTTTGTTTATATGTGTTAGTGTACATGTGTCAGTGTTTAGGGTACATGTGCAAGTATATGTGTAAGTGAACATGTGTCTGTGTTCAAAGTACATGTGTAAGTGTACATGTGTCTGTGTTTAATGCACATGTGTAAGTGTTTTGTTTATATGTGTAAGTGTACATGTGTCAGTGTTTATGGTACATGTGCAAGTATATGTGTAAGTGAACATGTGTCTGTGTTTAATGTACATGTGTAAGTGTTTTGTTTATATGTGTAAGTGTACATGTGACAGTGTTTTGGGTACATGTGCAAGTATATGTGTAAGTGAACATGTGTCTGTGTTTAAAGTACATGTGTAAGTGTTTTGTTTATATGTGTCAGTGTTTTAGGCACATGTGTAAGTGTTTTGTTTACATGTGTAAGTGTACATGTGCTTGTGTTGAAAAATTTTTTCTCTTCAATTAACTTACAATTCAGATTTCTCACTTTCAAAATAAATTTAAATTCAAAATTACCAAAAAAAAAAAAAGAAAAGAACTCAAAATGAAATTTTTTTTTAAACCATAAAATTATTCACCATTACAGAATAACGAATAAGCCTCATGTGTGTATAAAGAAAACGATAAAAAACGAAAAATTAAAATATTTGAATAAAACTTGAATGTTAACTTGGAGGACTTTCCAATTAACCACATTTGTGGTCCGTTGATTATATTCGATATCGTTCCACACGGATGAGATACTTTGTCTTGTCTTCAAAAATATGAAGAGAAATAATTTAATTTTTTTCTTTTTATAAACTATAATCTCGTATTGGTTGACAAAGAAAGGTGTTATTCCACCGTTTCACCTTTGATTTCAAGAGCAAAAGTTATATTAACAAC